AAATATTAATTTTTTATTTAATTAAGTGATTAAATAAATAATTAAACAAAGTAATTAAACAATAAATAAATAACATACATAACTAATTAAGACAATTAATTAAAGAAATATTTAAATAAGACATTAAAATAAATATTATTATTTTTATTTAAATAAGTGATAATTTGAATAAAGTAATTAAATATTAAATAAATAATATACATAACCAATTAAGATAATTAATAGAGAAATATTTAAACGAAAAACCAAATTAAATATTAATTTTTTTATTTGCGTAGGTGTTTAAAATAAATAATTAAATAAGGGCCAATTAAGATAATTAATTAATGAAATATTTAAAAGAGAAATCAAAATTAAATATTAATTTTTCATTTGAATAAGTGTTTAAAATAAATAATTAAATAATTTATTAAATATACATAATCAATTAAGATAATAAATTAATAAAATATTTAAATGAGCAATCAAATTAAATATTAATTTTTTATTTAAGCAAGTGATTAAATAAATAATTAAATAAAGAAATTAAATATTAAATAAATAATATACATAATCGATTTTAATTAATGAAATATTTAAACAAGAAAGTAAATTTAATATTAATTTCAGTAATTGTTTAAAATAAATAATTAAATATAAAGTGAAAAGTGTTTGATTTTTTAATTTGTAAGTTAACGGTATTTTTGTCTTTTGTAACAAAATTCTATTTTTGTAATTATATAAACTACTTAAGGGTATTTTTGTCTTTTACTCAATGAAAGGCTATTTTGGTGATAGGCAAATTTTTTTTGGTTAAAGTGAAAAATTGCACCTTTGACTTGGCCAAACTAAAAATTACCCCGGTTTATTTATGGGTAGAGTTTTGATATTGACAGGGGAAATTTTGATATGTCCACACTGGTTCTAAATTGGTTAGGCATTTTGTTGGCAGTGTTAATATTTATTTATTATCCCGCCAAGAATCAAGAATCAAAATCACCATATAATAAATTAATAAAACGAATTCATATCTGCGGAAACCATTGTTGATATGAATGATAGTTGTAATAGCAGTCAAGATCTTCCCTTCCTTACTCCTCACAAAGTATTAGCTATAAATGGGCCAAGCCAATAAAAAACTTAAGGAGAGGAGAGGGGACCTAACCTTTATATAGAAAATAATTGAGTCATCCCATTACGACTAGAATACTAATTAGGGTTTATGTCCGGTCCACATATTTTAAATTACCACATCAAATTAATTACAATCCGTAAGGTATAAAATGCCCAATTGATCACTTAATAAATTTGGCACAAACACAATATCATTATGAGC